CTTGTTTCAAATCTCAACACAGGAAACCCAAAGTACTTTATTGACTTATTTATCATTGTCGTCTTGTTTCAAATCTCAACACAGGAAACCCAAAGCACTTTATTGATTTATTTATTCATGTACGAATTCCTAAGCCGGGCTTCCTGTGGTTTAGACCGTCGTGAGACAGATTAGTTTTACCCTACTGGTTTTAGTGTTGTTGTAACAGTAATTTTGCTCAGTATGAGAGGAGCCGCAGAGTCAGACAATTGGCATTTGCACTTGCCTAAAAAGCCAATGGTGCGAAACTACCATCTGTTGGATTACGACTGAACGCCTCTAAGTCAGAATCCGTGCTAGAACGCAACGATAATTACCTCCAAAAGATTTAAGGCGAACAATATCTGCCAAGGCACTAAAGGATATCAAAGTTTAAAATTTCTAGAGCTAAATCCTTTGCAGACGACTGTTGTAGAGTAGCCTTCTGTCGTAGTAGTTACAATGTTCTGAGATTAAGATTTGTTCATCCAACAGAACATACTCCTCCTTGTGAACACTTGGCATTTCAGGGCCTACCTTCGTCCTCTCGGGCGTCGTGAACCAGGCCCGGATCTCTTGTTCTCTTGGACGATAACTTCTTTACCTTTTGATTATCACTACGTCATCAGTTCCCAACATACACTCATGTCATTCAGGGTTAGGGTTAAAAGGGGGCAATACTATAACCGTGCTGAAAATGAAAGCAAATGATCGGAATTCGGGTGTTGCACACCAATAGCACTGTTTCACACGAAACATTGCAGTCATTGGGCAATGTTTTACAGCATTCCCCTTTTTAACCCTAACCCTAACCCTAACCCTAAACTCTTGTTCAGGAATAAAGACGTTTTTGTATTACTCTATTTACTTATYATAGAAAAAACTGGTCATCGCTAATAAGCACCGCAAATACAGCTGTGGCGCGTAACTCAACGAACTGAAGGCATGTGAAGACGCCTTTGGCAGCCGTTTTCATTATCGTCATGTAACATTTGTTATCACCGCCAGCGTCATCTTCACAATCGTCATCATGACCATCATCATATCATCACTACTATCATCATCCCATTACCATCACCATCATCATCACTGTCATCACCTCCAGCTAAATCATCACCATCATCACCACCACCATCACCTCTAACAACACCATCACCATCGACAGGGCAGAAAAACGGGCTTTACTTTCGACGTTTATGCGTTAATAAGCTTTATATTTCATAAACAGGCTCCGCGTTTTGTAGCATGAGGCTAGCTCTTTTGGGGCTGATTAACAAAACACCAAAATTTGGGAAAATTTAAGGGATGCGTATTTGAGATGCAACGCCCTGAACGTTGGGAGAGATGATATTTTGATTAGCACAAAACTAACATTTTTGCTAATACCTCGAGGTTAGCAGAATTTTGTGAAAAGTTTAAAGCACAAGAGACACGAATGAAACACTRAACGTTTTTTAGCATGAATGAGAGATAAAGAGAAAAATTGCGAAAGTAGCAGCCTTGYTGTTTTTCTGCTTTGTCATCACCATATCATCAACATCATCATCACCACTACCTCCACCATCATTATCATCATCATCACAATTAGCCAACCAATATCAAACAATACCGCATGACTAGAATTCAAAGAAACGGAGCAATACTAACTTCCTTGGACCTGAACATCAACAACAACAACAACAACAACCACTAACCACAACGACAACAACCATCATCACAACGACAACTTCAACAACAAGAATTTCATTTGCAGTCTTACATACAAAGATTTAAAAAAATACAATAAAAAATATAAATATTAGAAAAGAGTAAATTACGTAAGAAAAAGAGTTGGTATCTTCACAAAAAATATGAAAATCAAAAGCTTTACATGAAGGTGCCAGTGGGGGTACCCAATTGTCGATTAACTACTAATTAATTTTCCAGCCTAATGCCAGTTAACTGTTAATAATTTAACGAGCGCTGGCCATAATATTAACTAAAATCATGAAATAACCTGCAGTTAACTGTTAACTAATAATCTTACGTCATCTCATTTGCATATTGATATTTCAAATGTTTATATCTCTGAAAATAGAAGTCCACATACAAAAATATTGCAACCATACCACTGAACTATTCAAATAGAAGTAATTTTGAAATTAAAATTTATTCCTTGATATACACTTTAAGAGGATGCTTGCAATATAATCAAGTTTGAAATTAGCGCTCATTAGAAGCCGAATGCCTTTGGTTAGAATACAATAACTAAGCGATAATTGGCTTATGGGATGGTGCGAATGAATGCAAATAAGCGGACTGACTATCCTAAGAACACCCTGTTATTATTGCTTCAAAATATGAAAACAGTTATTTGATAAAAATTTAGCCTCTCGTATAATCGTGGGAGCATCACCTAGCATTCTACTCGTCTTTCGGGCGACGACACCTAGAAAGCTCTACGAAAGGGGTCAATTTTCATCAATAAARACAATCCATCCAATATTTCACGGTCGATACTCTGTCTGTCACAGAATTCCTGTTCCCCGTTGATTTCAAAGCAAAGATACTTGCAAATGAACAAAAACATTTATCACATCCTTTGCATGAAAAAATCTCTTTTATAATCTAAAAATTTTGATTATCGCAAAACAAAAATATCAATMAAATAGAAAAATGAAAACTTAATTAATGGAAGAATATGATTTAAGAGTTGATTCGATTCGGAGCCTCAAAAGTTCTTTTACTGGATGAGAACTTCATGAGACCATGAGGAAGCG